CCTCCTTTTTACTGTATTGGAAAGCGCAGTAAGTAGAGGCATAATTATTATGAGTTACGTTCACTTTCCACCTTTCCGGCTATGATTTCAATGTATTCTCGAGATGAACGAGCGAAAAAGTGTGTTTATTGTTAAAAAACCGAAAGAGGGGAGTTCTGAAAAGTTGCACAGCCGAAATGCGGCCCGCGATCGTAAATATACCGTAACCCGCCATTGTAGCAGCTAGAAACCAAATACCTTCATCATCTGACATTCAACACGACAACGTCCTTTTCAGACAATCCTCTGCACTGGTTTTGTTCGTGGAGTGGCAGTCAATGGAGTTGTACGAGGCGACATTCTCCTGGCAAGTGGACAAATGATTGATCGACCTGGACTTCTAGAGGTTTGCCTGCCGCAAGTAATTTTGTGCTGACTTATTAAGCCTTACAGTTTGCAGGTGCCTTTGAATTCACAGCAGTTTCTTCTTCGAACCACCCCGGATCTCTCAATTGTGTTTTGTGACGCAAGGTACGTTAGGTTTCCAGGCGCAGTGTGGTTGGGTGGGCGCAGCGGATGGTACTCAGCAAAGCTCGTGCGGACCACCTTGTGGAGACCTGTAAATCCTATAACCAAAGTAGCCACCACCTAAAAGGAACTATCAGAGGGACTAACAAAACTGTAAAATACCCCCCCCCTAACCCAAACAGCGCCTCATTCCTTATTCGTTTGCTCTGGGGTCGTGCAAATTACTTGCATTCAAAGTTGCAGAAGTATTTAAACTTGTATCTAGCCTGATTTATTGGCCAGTGGTGTTAAGCTGGTTAATTCCGTTCTCTCAGGGCAAGAATGCTGTAGAGGTCCCGAAGAGACAGGCCACTGAAAGACACATCCCTTCTGAATGAATAGACCCGTAGCCGTTATAGTTTTCTTTTGCGTACCCTCATATGATACAGTATTTTTGGCTGGGGCATTTACGGGGAGAAGGGGTCGACTGGGGTCGGTGCGACGCCGCCTGTTCTTCTGCAGTTGCGGAAGCTTGCAGACGAACACAACTGATGAAGAGTAGGCTGGCACCGCGCCAAACCCGACCCTAAAGCCACGGCGTCCGCAGAGAACAAAGTTGTCATCGAGGGAGAAAGCGCTAAAGGAAAGCGACAAGGAGAAAAGCAAAAGGCTTATGGTGTCTGTGCATCCATTAAACCCAAATTATTCCATTGACCTGAGCTCTGGCTGTGGTAAAATCGCCCTCCATCATTTCCTAGCCTTGGTTCTCGCACCTTGTGGATTGCACCGCAGTAGAAGTGCGCCTGATTTGCGACACACTCACGTGCTGAAAATCGAACCAATCGTCACACATTGTTCAGGGTCGGCGAGGTGCTACGCTTCAATCCTACTGACCTGCTCGATCGAAGTCTTTATCAACTCATCAGTGTCGAAGATTGCGAATCACTTCTCAGAGCCCACATGATGAGTGAGTAAGCACCACTCCAGAACTCCAGAAGTCACCATCATCTCACAACCCATTTTCAGTTTTGAGACCTGAAGAATGTCAGTCAGTCACACAGTATGTCAGTATGTTCTGTCAAGGTGGTGGACTGGCTACGGTAGCACTTCACCTCATTAAACTGCCCAGTAATCATGTTGGAGCAACATTTTCCATTTCCATCATTTGTACGCTTGTCGGGTGAGTATTCCAAAGAATTTTATTTTCGAATCAATTTTCAGCTTAACGGATTCCTTCTGGGGAATAATGCCTTGCGATATTCATGGCACATATGGCGATTAGAGAAATTGCGGTGACCACGGCACGTTGTACGCTGGGAATCCCTAGCGAGGGGATCCTATTGAGTCGCTAGAGGGAGGCGATCGTAATTCCCTCTGAAAAACGTCTACGGTTGTTGACTTTTCTTCATTCTTCGCTTCAAGTGCTTTTTCACCTCTTCCCCCTTCCCCCTCCAG